ACCTGTACCCCGAGGTATAGCTCCTGAACACTACTGTTGATATGAGCCGGTACCCCCGAGGTATAGCTCCTGAACACTACTGTCGATATAAACCGGTACCCAGAGGTATAGCTCCTGAACACTACTGTTGATATGAACCGGTATCCCCGAGGTATAACTCCTGAACACTACTATTGATATGAACCGGTACCCCCAAGGTATAGCTCCTGAACACTACTGTTGATGTGAACCAGTACCTTCGAGGTATAACTCCTATACACTACCGTTGATATGAACCGGTAACCCCGAGGTATAAACAGGTACATCCGAGATATAACTCCTGAACTCTACTGTTGATATGAACCGGAACCCCCGAGGTATAGCTCCTGAACACTACTGTTGATATGAACCGGTACCCCCGAGGTTTAACTCCTGAACACTACTGTTGATATGAACCTGTACCCCGAGGTATAGCACCTGAACACTACTGTCGATATGAACCTGTACCCCCGAGGTATAGCTCGTGAACACTACTGTCAATATGAACCTGTACCCCGAGGTATAACTCCTGAACACTACTGTTGATATGAACCGGTACCCCTGAGGTATAGCTCCCGAACACTACTGTTGATATGAACCGGTACCCCCGAGGTAGAGCTCCTCAACACTACTGTTGATATGAACCGGTACCCAGAGGTATATCTCCTGAACACTACTGTTAGTATGAGGTGTTACAATGTACCCCCGAGTTATATCTCCTGACCACTACTGTTGATATGAACCGGTACCCCCGAGGTATAGCTCCTGAACACTACTGTTAGTATGAGGTGTTACAATGTACCCCCAAGTTGTATCTCCTGACCACTACTGTTGATATGAACCGGTACCCAGAGGGATAACTCCTGAACACTACTGTTATGAACCGGTACCCCCGAGGTATAGCTCCTGAACACTATTGTTATGAACCGGTACCCCCGAGGTATAGCTCCTGAACACTACTGTTGAAATGAACCGGTACCGAGAGGTATAACTCCTGAACACTACTGTTGATATGAACCGGTAACCCCGAGGTATAACTCCTGAGTACTACTGTTGATATGAACCAGTACCCCCGAGGTATAGCTCCTCAACACTAGTGTTGAAATGAACAGGTACCCCCGAGGTGTTACTCCTGTACACTACTGTTAGTATGTACCCCGGAGGTACACAACGGAATGTTTGTGTATCACATCAACAAATGTACGCGGAAATGTTTGATTGTGTACAAATAAGTAACGGGACATTGAACTGTGTTACATACTCCCCTATATTTTACCAAAAAAACACCTTAACCAAATTCCTTTAGGATAGGAGGAAACAGATAGTTTGGAGAATACTAAACAAGTTGGCTTTGTAAACCTGTCTCCATAAGAAATTCTAAAATATCCAGTAAATAATTATAGGTTGATGCTGTAGTAATTTGCTTGCTTACTTATTACATAGCAAATTGTCATCCATTGTTTATATATATATAGAGGTTACACAACGAGTGGTTGTTGAATATGGTATTTATTTCACTCGAGTCAGTTAATTTTCAAAAGAAACGAGCTTTAGCGAGTGTCTTTCTGTAACTTTTGAAAATTAACTAACGAGAGTGCAATAAATACCATACTCAACAACCACGAGTCGTGTGATCTGTTTCTACCACAATCTCATGATCAGTCGGAAATAACATACACACATGTGTTTGTTGACAAGGCTGGCGTAGTGATATTGACCCATATGAAAAAAGTCACTAATTAGTTTTTAAAAACAACTTCTTTTTTACAAATTTAATAATTGTCAAAATCAATGATTCGGCAACAACTTCATGAAAAAATATAAAAGATGAACGACTTTAAATATTGAGAGTAACAGTATTGCATTAATTTATATAAATTAACCACAGACTATATGCGCGTAAGCATTTCGTACGAAGTCTGCCTCCCGCCAAGTGATGAAGACGAACTTATCAATGTCCAAACCATAGGCCTACGTTTCTTCTTGACGTTCTATGGTTGATGTTCATAGTGAAAGTTCAGCCATAGTCAGGCCGTCCAAAAAGCGATAACGGGACGTTGGGAGAACGAAATATTTTCCGTCACTGTGACAGATCTTGTTTTGGTTTCACAACCTGGACACGCAACGGTGTGACGTCGAAACGATATCGAGCGTCTGTAGCAATTTTGCCTGAAACTAGCGATCAAATCTAATAGTATCATCTTCTTTTAATATTGCCTTAATAACCCCCTTTTCCGCATAACCTCACAAAGTCACCAACATTTGTCGGATGTTGATAGCAGACGACGTAAACAAAACAGCATGTGGCAAAAAGCGCGTGGAAAAAGTCGTCCCGGTCAAAGTTCATCTTCTCGACCAATCAAAACTCTTATTTATCTAACAGTCTGCGTTTTTTATACAATGATCTGAGGGTGGAATAACACAGCGTATTGTGGTAGAAATATGTTTAGCAGCGTTTTTTTATGCCGCTTTGGAGTTTCCACAATGACCATTGGATTATATTAGGAAACATTAATAAACAAAGAAACATTTCTCGGAGGCAAAGATGTTACTTACTGTCATGTGTTTCGCTACAACAATGGCTTGATGTATACCGTCGGACTTCAACTCTTTACTGTTAAGGAGGGCGTCCAGCAGACGTGACAGCCAAGATTGGTACTGCTGTTCCATCCTATGTTCGCATGGCATCTCCAACAACAAATGGTGTACATCTTTGTCAAGGACACCCACTATCAGGAAAGGAAAATATACAAGGTGTGAATGAGCAATACTAACAAGTTGTTTAATGTTGAGGAATTTAATAGCCTGATTTTTTCGAGATGTATTATTATACAATAGTGCGACACCCAGAGATGGATTAAGACTCGCCTTCTGTGTGGAGCCAATGTTCAAGTTGTTTCATAGCACGCTCTATGGTGTCCTTAACTGGATCAGTCTTACGTTCCTTCATGACCTCTGAATCTGCAACAGTAAGCACATTCTCGGCATCCGTAAAATGTTAAATCACCTGTGTTTTTTAGTCTACTATGCCTTATACATTTTTATGATTTCTAGTTTAGTTTGTGTTATATATTTGTGATTTCTAGTCTACTATTTGTTATATATATTTGTGATTTCAAGTCTAACATGTGTTATATATTGTGATTTCTAGTCTATTATGTGTTATATATTTGTGATTTCTAGTCTATTATGTGCTATATATTTGTGATTTCTAGTCTATGTGTTATATATTTGTGATTTCTAGTCAATTATATATTATATATTTGTGATGTCTAGTCTATTATGTGTTATATATTTGTGATTTCTAGTCAATTATATATTATATATTTGTGATGTCTAGTCTATTATGTGTTATATATTTGTGATTTCTAGTC